TCGTCCTTGTCAAAGACATCGAGAAAGCAAGCCCCGTAAGTTTTGATGTACCAGCCAAGTTCCATAACGATCGACAATATCCAGGAGATCGAATTCCAAAAGCAATCCAGAATTCACAACTGGTTTGGCACGATGTGCTTATTTGCCGCAGCTTCTGCTCAAAGTAAATTCCTCCTCGACAGATCACTTCCATATTTTGTTGACGTGAACTGCGTGTTTTGTTTGTATTGGATATATAGGGAATAGTTATTGTTCTATTCTGTATTCTCATCGTATAAGACCCATGTCCTGCATTCCGATATGATTCTCTCCTTTGAGCAGATGCATTTATATGGGATGCACTAAGCACACAGAACCTTTGCAACATATGAATATGAAATGAAGGAGGTCTCTTTTTGGGCTACATGAGATCTGTAGCGCGATGTTTGCAGCACAGGTTTTTCAGGCAGTTCACTACCCTGCCCCCTAATTGGTGACAGCAGGGATGGTCGCGGCAACGTGCTGGCAGCGTGGCAGAAGCCGAGTTGTTGGCACCTTTGGCACAGTTGCTGATGCCCCAAACCCCGCCCTTAGAGCTTTTTCGGAGCTTCCCATCACCACCAGGGTGGGCTGGAAACTATTTGGAGCCGGACTTGGCAGCTCATGGGGTGTTGAAGGACCCAGAAGCTGCGTTGTTCATAGAATATGATGGCTACTGGCGGCATCGGTAAAAGGCAGGTATTGAGATGGACCAGTTGAAGAACACAGCTTTGTTAGCATTTGCCCCTCCAGGCTCCAAAGTGATTCGCATCAACCACACTGCTAGCAGACTGGTCAGCTGTGATGCCAACATTCTTTGGATTTGTATAGATACTTGGCGTCAAGGTCAAGGGGATCAGAATGCTTTTCTTGTCATCTTCAACTATCTCTTGGTGCAGACGGCCGATGGCCTTCAAGAGGATTTAAACCAGGACATGTTGAAAAAGCTGCAGTGTCAGCGAGGAAAGGCCACACTACATGTAGCTGTCGACTCAAAAATCATTGTGGATGCAGCTATGAAAGCAAAAGGCCGGAACACCAAAGAGGAGATCTCCTTATTTTTGCAAAGCCAGGGATTCACAGTGAACCATATTAGCATGCTACAAGAAAACAAGTTGTTAGCTGGGCAAAGCATCGACAACAATCTGAAACCAAAGTTGCAATGGCTATCCCAGATAGGGCTGAGCAAAAGTCAGGTTGCAAAAGCCGTGGCTGTTTTCCCTAAACTTCTTGGATACCGAATCGAGCAGAACTTGAAGCCGACCATCCAGTGGCTGCTAGATTTGGGTTTGAGCAAGGCACAAGTTGCCAAGGCAGTGGCGTGCAAACCTCAGATTCTCGGATATAGCATCGAGAAGAACTTGAAGCTGACAGTCCAGTGGCTGCGGGATTTGGGTTTGACCAAGACTCAAGTTGCCAAGACGGTGGCCCCTCCCCTGCAATCCTTGGACTTAGCGTCGAGCAGAACTTGAAGCCGACTGTCCAGTGGCTCTTGGATTTGGGTTTGAGCAAGACTCAAGTTGCCAAGGCAGTGGCCAAGCAACCTCATATTTTGGGATATAGCATCGAGCAGAACTTGAAGCCAACGGTCCTGTGGATGGTGGGTTTGGGATTGAACATGACTCAAGTTGCCAAGGTGGTGACCACTTCCCCTGCAGTCCTTGGACTAAGCATCGATCAGAACTTGAAGCCGACAGTTCAGTGGCTGTTGGACTTGGGTTTGAGCAAGACTCAACTTGCAAAGGCAGTGTCCAGCAAACCATGTATCCTTGGGTATAGCATCGAGCAGAACTTGAAACCGAAAGTCCAGTGGTTGCTGGATTTGGGATTGAACATGACTCAAGTTGCCAAAGCGGTTGCTACTTCCCCTGCAATGTTTGGATACAGCATTGAGCAGAACTTGAGGCCAACAGTTGATTGGCTGTTGGATTTGGGCTTGAGTAAGACACAAGTTGCCAAGGCAGTGGCCTGCAAACCTCAGGTTCTTGGATATAGCATCGAGCAGAACTTGAAGCCGACAGTCCTGTGGCTGTTGGATTTGGGTTTGAGCAAGATTCAGGTTGTCAAGATTGTTGCCAGCAAACCTCATGTTTTGGGATATAGCATAGAGCGCAACTTAAAGCCAACAGTCCAGTGGCTGCTGGATGTGGGGCTCAGTTGTCACCAAGTGGCGAAGGCAGTCGCTACTCATCCTCCAGTGCTGGGTTACAGTATCGAGAACAATTGTAAGCCAAAATATAATTTGCTGTTCGTTGCCTTCGGTCCGGATTATTCCGCTCAACTGATTGCAAGATTTCCACAAGTTCTGAGCTACAGCCACCACCGGCTTTCCTGGCGTTTAAGTGTTCTAGCAGACCGAAATGAGACAATGAAACTGGCAGCTGTGATGAGTCTTACTCCGGATGCTTTCCAGAAGCGTTTCCTTTGTGATTGAGTTCACTTGGCGCACGTAGAATCCTGAACCGCCAAACATAGTTCCAAAGAAAATCAGTGAGACCTGTGGGTGTTCCTTCGTGTGTGGCAGATTTTGACTCGCACCTGACTTTATGACATCATTGCAAGTTGTGTTGGTATACTACTGCAGAGATGGTCGTCTTGATCAATGCATATTCTTGTTCACATTTCTAGCTATGACCTTGTGATAAGCATTTGAGAGGGTGAGTAAAACGGTAAGATGTTTGAAAGTCCAGCCTGCTTGGGCTCTAGGAGGCACCCTCCATATTGATAATCCATAGACCCTCAAGGATGGGTCCTTTTTTTGAGGCAACTTGGAGATCGGCCTGTTCTTGTGTTGTCTTTTTTTGCGGCTTAGGGACAACAATCTGCTGCACGGTAAACAAGTGACCCTGCCTGCGTTTACACCATTTGCTCCCAAACCATCACTGCATTGAAGGCCCATTTGCTTTAGACAACTGCTTTCTTCAGCTTCACCCAAACCAGTTGACTGAATTTCTGTCTTCGCTCCAACTCTCAAACCCTGCGCCCAAACGGACGTATTGCGCTGCGAGGCGGCGCAAAGCTCTGAAACGCTGCGACGCTTCGAGACCCTCGAGGCCTGTTTGCTGCAGCGGCCGGGGCCAGGTGGACGGCCGCCGGGGGGGACAAGGTGGACAGGGAAGCCCTGGCTGGCTGACAACAAAGAAACTTACACAGGGTGGCTATTGCTAGTAGCTTGCTACGTGTTCTTTGCGGCAGATGTATTTGCAAGGGTGGGTGGATCATGTTTATATTTTTTGGGGAGATGAATTCCAGGTCTCGGTATATAGATTGTTACGAGTTTCCGCTGTTCTTTGTATGGCTCTTGTACCCGTTCGTGGGTTGGGTGATTAGGGCCTTCACACTATTGGAACGACAGGCGAGCTGAAGACATTTCTGAGGGAACCGAGGTGCCGGTCCCACTTTGGGAATCAGACCACCTAGCAGAGTGAATAGACAGCGGCTCCAACATAGTAGGTACTAGGTACAGCCAATGCCCGTAAAGACTTGGTTCCTCAAATGAAAACTGTTTGAAACATCTCTGTTACCCTTGTCCTCGTCAAAGACGCAAGCCCTGTAAGTTTAGATGTACCTGCCAAGTTCCACATCCTTCTCAACGATCGACAATCGCCACTAGATGGTATTCCAAAAGCCATCCAGAATTCACAACTGGTTTGGCACAATGCGCCTGTTTGCTGCAGCTTCTGCTCAAAGCTCCTCGACAACACCATATACAGCAAAACAAGCTTCATCACTGTGCAATCATGTTTGATATAAACGTGTTTTTTTGTATTGAAATTGGACGAGTTACTGCATTCTCTTTTTTATCGTGTAAGACTGATTTCCTGCATGCGGCGTTGGAGTCCTTCGAGGAGATGCAATTAACTACATTGGAATGCACTAAAGCTCAGCCGAACTTAGATGAATATATGAAGAATGGCTCCGCTCTAGGACCATAGGACCATAAGGTCTCTTTTTGTTGGCTTCATGAGAGCTGTAGCGCGATGTTTGCAGCACAGGTTCTCAAGGCATTTCACCACCCTGCCCCCAAATTGGTGGCAGCAGGGATGCTCTCGGCAACGTGCTGGCAGCGTGGCAGAAGCCGAGTTGTTGGCACCTTTAGCGAAGCTGTTGATGCCTCACACTCCGCCCTTAGAGCTTTTTCGGAGCTTCCCATCACCACCAGGGTGGGCTGGACACTATCTGGAGCCAGATCTGGCAGCACACGGGGTGTTGAAGGACCAACAAGCTGCGCTGTTTGTGGAGTATGATGGCTACTGGCGGCACGGGGAAAAGGCGGGCATTGAGATGGACCGCTTAAAGAACGCGGCTTTGTTGGCCTTTGCCCCTGCTGGTTCCAAAGTGATTCGCATCAGCCACACACCTGGCACATCAGTCAGTTGCGATGCCAACATTCTGTGGGTTTATGTAGATCCGTGGCGTCAAGGTGATCAAAAAGCTTTTATGGTCACCTTCAATCATCTTTTGTCGCAGATGGTTGATAGGCTTCAATCGGATTTGAACCTAGACATGCTGAGGAAGTTGCAGGGGCAGAGAGGGAGGGACGCACTACATCTAGCAGTCGACTCTAAAAGCATTGTGGATGCAGCTATGAAGGCAAAAGGCCGGAACACGAGAGAGGAGATCTCCTTGTTTTT